CAAATGACATTAAACCTTTTTGGATTTAAAATAATGATTAGAGAAAGGTTAGCCTGCGTGGCGGCTCTAGGGGAGGGGGGAGGGAGAAAATGGAAGGGGAGGGGATGGGGAGGCAGAGCAGAAAGGAGAGCCTCTCCTTTTTTCTGCTCCGCTTCCCCACTCCCTCCCCTTCCGTTTTCCCCCTCCCCCTTTTCCCTAGAGCCGCCACGCAGGCTAGGGAAAGGTTACTGAAGAGAGCACCTTTAAGGCTAGATAAGACAGCACAGCTTTTGCCAAAAACCATCGCATGCACCTTCATAAATCTTCCTCATAAAATGGCTATAGCTGTCATAGCTATTTCCTTAATAGTCCTACGACAGTTGTAGCTATGTTGTAAGGATAACTTTGACTTTGTCTCATGGATCTACAACAATCTAGAGGATTCGATGACCCAATTGTTGTAAATAAGAGCATTAAACTATTGTAAATTTGTTAAATGCCATTCTGTTGTGTTTGCAGGTTATACGATAAGTGTTCTAGGTACAGAGAGTACCTGCCCATTGACTAAGGACAACATGGAGAACAAGGATGATTTTCCTGTAGTTGTTGATGTAGTTGGTTTTATGCCCTTATTACAAGTTAGCACCTCTTTGCCCAAAGTACGATCAACACCGACAGATATTGACAGCCCTCAATCAGCGCCCTTGGTTACGGCAGTGACTTTGTATGCTGGTCAAAGGTAAGTAGAGTATACTTTATTGTGCTATGCTAAGCAGATTTTGTAGGACTGTATAAAAACATAGATCATAGCCTGGAAACAGCTCAGCACTGTTATCAAAACTTTGTCTGGCGATGACACCAAATGAAAATACAGATTAAACGATACATCACTGTGATGGCACAATATGGTCGCAAAATACGACACTGAATTGTTTATGCATAGTAATATGCAATCCACTCTTACTAATCATCTCTGGAATTCAGCAAAATTGGACACTTTTTTAAAAAGAGTTACAAAAGATGTTTGGTTTTTATATATTATAATGCTTCCTGTGGAAGAATCAATTGTTTTCAAAATAATTTTTAATTGAAATTTGCTCACTGATTGGTTCAAGATCAAAGATGGCAAAAAATTGACCAAAAGTATGCAGATGACCTGGATAATTAATGGTTGGTAATATATTGTGCATTTTTTTTTAGCATGAAGGGAATTATAACACTAGAAAATATTGGTAAAAGAGCCATTGAGTCTAATGTCATTAACCTTGGTAGTGATCTGGGAGAAGGTAAGAATTCCAATGCTCAACACCCAAAGTGTAAAATTCCATGTTTTGGAACGAGCCATAGACAGATCTTGCAAGATGGTACCTCCCAACCTCCTGTGTAACCTCCTCTGCAACCTCCTTTGTAACCTCCTCTGCAACCTCCTCTGCAACTGTAGCCTCCTCTGTAACCTCCTGCAACCTCCTCTGCAACCTCCCCTGTAACCTCCCCTGAAACCTCCTCTGTAACCTCCTCTGCAACCTCCTCTGCAACCTCCTCTGCAACCTCCCCTGTAACCTCCCCTGAAACCTCCTCTGTAACCTCCTCTGCAACCTCCTCTGCAAACCTCCTCTGTAACCTCCTCTGCAACCTCCTCTGCAAACCTCCTCTGCAACCTCCTCTGTAACCTCCTCTACATGCAATGCCAGGAGCCCATTCTGACAATGCAAAGATAATTATAGGGTAACATACTTTTTCTCAGATACAAAATCATGTTGCATTGTGGTTCAGTTCAATCAACCCCATATTCGGCAGCATGAACAAAAGATGTTTTTTTTTAATCCAGAGCACAATGAATCTAGAGCACAATGCAATGCAAACTGCTATCTGAGAAAAGGKCCCTATGGGGCTGCAGCACTTGTATAATTAAATGGTACTAGAATCGTAGCTGTAGGTGCTAACTGTATCACTTCTTTAAAACCATTGCTGGTACTCACTTATACGCATACATGTAGGTGTAGAAAGGCGCTAAGAGAGTAAAGCAGTTGTTGCTTCATATTGATTCATATTTGACGGAGAAATGAGGCTGCTGTACAGGGTTCGTGCTACTCCTTCAAACCCTTAACGTCCTGAAATTGAAAACACTTTTAAGGGCGCTTGAAAAGGCCTTGAAAATGCATTAAATCCACTAAAAGTCCTGGAAAACTCCTTGTATCTGATGACATATTGAAATGTTGTTTTTTATGCTTTTGAATTGAAATGTGGCTATTTTTTTAAAAATCGCCACTGGGAACGTTCGCAAACATTAAAAAGTATTTTCTAAAAATACTGTCCTTTAAAATCGTATTTTTGTGCTAAAAAGGACTTCAAAATTCCTSGAGTTTTGTAGTGAAAAAGTAGCACGAAACCTAGCTGTAGGGCAGGCTTCTCGACTGCAAAGCTCATTTAATCTGCAAAGCTCGTGTAATCTTTAATGAAATATTAACAAAAAATGAATTTGTTTTCTTACTGCAGGTGCTCATGATATTTTTAGTTTCGATAAAGAAGAAGTTGATTCATGTCTCCCATTGCATCCTGGGAGGACTGCCAATATCTCTGTTGAAATCACAGGGATTTATCATATCCCAACAAACATTGGGAGCTCTGACAATCTTAGCTATGACCCTGAAGCACCATGGGGGCTTAATGGAACTATAACATTTCGATATTCTGGGGAACTTGATAAAGATCATTTATGCCGGCGGGTTTCCATGACGATAGATGTCTCTGTTGTGCCGAGTCTTCACTGTCATAATTACGAACTGCGAGCAATCCCAAGGTAAAACAACACTCCTCTTCTACTGGGAAAAAGTACGCATTTTTGGCTGCTTAGTTAGCTTAGTTAAATTTGTATTATTTACTCCAGTTTTTGGGACTTATTTTGCACTGACTTTCCTTCAAAATGTGGAAAATATTCTGTATTTCAAGAAAGATTCCATTGTAATTAATACCAAAACAAAAGAACAGTGTCCTGTCACAGCCGTTATTTGGCTCGTTCCCATGTCTTCCCCCACACGAAAGATACATAGAAATAAACAATAGCTATGAGAGAATACTTTGAAAAGACGTACAGCGTTGCTATTTAGACAACGGTTTTGCAGCAATTTTTGGGGTTGAATTATTTTGCAGTTTTTCATTATTGTCCTTCTTTTATCATTTTGGTATGTATATTCCCAACGTTGAAATGACATTAATAATTGCGTGTTTTAAACTAACAGTGTTGAATCAAAGTGTCTGTTGTTATTTGATGCTGACAACAAGACTTCAAATGACATGGAGCTGGAGTATTCAGTTCAGCCTCACAAAGGTACAAGTGGAATGACTATTTAACAATTAGACCTCGAGGTCGAGTGGACTACTAGCTAATAGCCCATGAGGCCGAGTCCGCGAGGCCGAATGGGCTATTAGCTCGTAGTCCACGAGGCCGAGAGGTCTAATTGTTTTAGTATAAAAACATACTAATCGGTCAAATAATGAAAACAAATTGGAATATCCTTAAAATAATTTATAACTTATAACTTGTTTATTTTGATTTTCCCACGAGTGGTCTATCACAAATTAGACCATTAGTAGAGTGGCCAATCACAGCGCAGTATGAGTGATAGACCATTAGTATGTTTATACTAAATAGATTTTTGTTAGAGTAGCAATACTACGACAATAATCCAAGTAGATTTTTATGCTACAGTAGAAATGCAAGTAGTTTTGCCGTTTCTTAGATGAAAGCGCAAAATCTAATTTTAGAGATTATTATAAAATTTTATTAGACATAAGAGGTTGCAAGGTTCACCGCAAAACGAAGACCCATTCTCGTACCCAGATCCTTCTCAGTTTCCCAACGGAAAATCGAAGACTCTGGTTGGAAACGAATGATCCTTTGATTTGATTGGTTAAGAAATTCCCATCCATCATCACATAGCCCCAGAGGCTAAGTCTTCCAGTATTGTCTCCATTCAGAGCCTTCTATTTCCCATTGCGAAACTGAGAAAGATCTGGGTACGAGAATGAATGAAAAACTAATACCCCAAATAACACCGAATTCTAAACGGTCCACTTGATAGAACTTTTTATGTTTTAAGGCATAACATAAGGTCTTTGTTTTCTAAATCTGTAAAAGAAATCCCACCATCAAAAGTGAATTATCCAAAAGCTATACACAATCATGGTGTAAGAATATCATTCAGTTTTTAAACTGAAGGGAATTTATCCGGATAATATTCGAGGGTGTCAGTTTTGGGGTCTCCGTTTACCGGTGACCCAAAAGTGCAAGTACTATAATTTGTGTATTCTATAACAGATTGAAACTAGCGGTAAACTAGTGTGAGCTGCGTCGGTTTTTCTAAAGAAACAGTATTGTAAAAAGATAAATTTTAACACCTTAAAAAAGTAGGTAAAAGAACTTACTAGTAAGTACTTTTTTACGGAGTTGAAATTTATCTTCTTACACAACTATTCTATAACTGTTGTTCAATATTTCAGTTCTTTCAGATATCGGTGGAACGTCTTCAACAGAAGTCCTCAGTATTCAAGGAAACGACTCAAAAAGGTAAGCGACTTTTATCCTGTACAACTGAAAGGAATGTATTTATCTTGAACTTAACGGGCTCCTGTATATACAAAGTTATGGCGCTCAGTCCAAATTCATCCATTTATTTCACAGGTAGCCCAAGCTCAATTGTTTTGATTTGCAAATTCTGTAAATTTCAACTATATCTGTATACACTATATCGGGTGCATTTAGTGTAATATTCACTTAAAAGTGCCAATGTTTTCTTGTTAATTCGGTGTTCAATTATTTTTCAGAATAAGCGTTTATTTACCACGGTTTCTTCTCCCTGTTGACCCTGAATACGAAAAGGTAAATCAAAATGCGTAAATCCGTAAAACTTTCCCAGCCTCACATTGGTCTTCTTCGTCAGTCCTCCGCGACCTATTTTATCCGTGCTTTTTCATCAACGTGAACAATAAGGGGTGGGTGCGAACAAAGTTTTCTATCATTGCACGCTCACTGGTCATCTCCCTTTAATGCAAAAGCACGGATAGTTTTTTTACCAATCCCGTTCCCAGAACCTTTATCACATCGCTTGGTGTAAGGCGGGATATAACGCGACCGTCCCCAAACGCAGAGATAAGGGCCTGGGAACGAGGGTGTCAACTTTCAATATGGCGGCGAGAACCTTGAAGAAGTCTATTGTGATCAACCCCTTTATGGTTTATACTTATAGAGCTCAGAGAAGGACAAAAGGCTCAAGTATTGCCAAGCAATTAAAGATATGGTCAAACTTCAATGGAAGCTTGTATCCTTGTTTTGCGTATGAAGTGGTCAGGGTCGTGCTCAGAGAATTTTGCACTACGAGAACAAAACTTGGACTGCAAATGAAAGTTTTCATTACTTTTGAGTGACAAAATTTAAAAGATATTCGGGAAAATGCACTGAAAGCGCCAAAAAATCAGTTGGATTTATCATTAAACCAGGGAAAACCATTTGTGCCGGACTAGACTAGAGGACCATAAATGTCACTCGAAATATGCTGTTACTTGTGAAAATCTTTATTTTTATCTTTCGCATCAAATTTCTATTCTGGTTCTCCCGGTAAGGAGACCTTTTTAYACAAGGTTGGACGTGGGTTTGTGGGGGAAATCACGTACGCGCACACTTATGGAATRTAGGTCGTTTGAAACAATTTGGATTGACTACTGCAATAGACWATTACTCTTTTCCACGCTGCGCTTCATCGGGTTGATAGCGACAAAAGTAGTGACGCTTCGCTTTTGTATGACTATTATTTAATAATATTCGTTTTCAGTTATTACTTAACTTGAGTTACTAGCCTGCTTGTCACGTGTCTGGCTATGGAAACATCGATAATTTTAAGTTAAATAAAACCACCCTTCAAATCCTTAAACCTGATCCTATATTATTTGGTAAGTGKARTCGTCTTCTGTCTTCTCCATTTTCATTCAGGTTCTTGTTTTCTCTGTTTSTTTCTTTATCTTTTTGGTGAATGCCCACTAAAACGCAAACAATTTTTTTTGTCGCAAGTGTTTGCACGCCGTGTTTCGTATTATTGCAAACTGGTTACTAGTCAAACTTCAGAGCAACGAACATTGATAGTTCTCTCAATACCATGATGCATTTCGTCAAATCATGACGTCATATGGGTAAGAGAATAGCCTCGATGCACGCATTGACAAGAGAAATGCATCTTTTTTCATCGTTTCATCCCACTCTATTATTCCTTAGGCCCCTTTCAGACGTCGATCCTTTGCCGCGTCTAATCTAATTGCTTACATGCAGTATATATTGCTTGAGTTTGCAGTATACATTGATTAATATTTACGGATTATAGTAAGTTTGTCCAACTGAACAAGTGGACTAATGTCAATAAATTCAGGGTACAAAATGCTCATAAACTCAACTCCACCAATTAAATCACACTCGACAAAAGATCGACGTCTGAAACGGGCCTTACGTTGTCTTATGTCCAAAGTTATGTTACGTTGTGTTATGTTATGTTATGTCGTGTTGTGTTGTGTTCTTTTGTTGTGTTGTGTTGTGTTGTGTTGTGTTGTGTTGTGTTGTGTTGTGTTGTGTTGTGTTGTGTTGTGTTGTGTTGTGTTGTGTTGTGTTGTGTTGTGTTGTGTTGTGTTGCGTTGTGTTGCGTTGTGTTACGTTGTGTTATGTTGCTTGCTCTTCCGATAGAGTAAGGACCAAGAGCAGGCTTTCGGTTTCCAAAAAATCCCGGAAC